TTTTTTTTTTGAAAGAGTAAAACAAATAAATTACTTGTGTGTATTATTTCAATTTTAGAAATTGTATCACCCAAAATTCCTCAAAATCCAACTAATAGAATATAGAGAATTGAAGACGATCAATCTTGTGAACAAAATTAAAATTTTATATTTAAAATAATACGAAGTATATAATGAAAATAACCAATAGTATATAATACAAAATATGACCAAATATGTAAATTATGTAAAAGTAATTAAATACGTTACAATCAAAAGAGTAAGAAAAAGTTATACTAATATTATTTATTTTAAAAAGATATATCATAAGGGAGAAAAGGCACAATACAAATTTCTACATTTATGATTTGGCATGAGACGTCGTCCGACAAATGAATCATGTGCCATAGAAGTGAGATGGCCTGATTGTTGTCCCAGTTTTGTCACTAACAAAAACAAGTATTGAAAACATTGGATGTGTCACTTAATATGTGCTGCTTGTGTTAGACTATAGTAGTAGATGAGTAGGCTCCAAAATTACTATCAATGGAGGCAACCACGAATTAATGAGACATCAATAATTATTACCGTTCAAAACATATATTTGTCCAGACCCTATATATGCATATAATTATATATATATATTTTAAAGGTAGGCACACTTTAATTTTCTGATAATTAACAAGTGATTTAATAATATATATATATGAAGTACGAAGTATACCTTAGGCGGATAGGTCAATCCTTCGAGGGAAAAAAAAGTGTTGATGTAAATGTCAACCAGTTGAGCAAGACCTAATTTATGGTAATGCATGCTCAAGTTGTAAGCTATAAGCCAACATAGAATCCTGGTGATTGTGTTAAATACTCTTCTGACTTATAGCATGATTTGCTAGGTTTGGCAATAATGGTAGTATGGAGTTCTTCGTACTACTATGGGAAGTACCCTTCTCGTCAAGCTAATAAATATTAGTATGGGCTTTAAAAAAAACTATATATCAATGTCTTATGTCTAATTGTAATGCCACTAGACACTACCTATGCTATATATAGCCTACATTATTCATGTCAATGAATTAAAATCATAATCATATGGAAGGATAGAACAATATTTGGTATTCAAGCTCTATGTCAATCCATATTCACGTAAATACTGTCATGCTATCTATTGATCATGAAAAATCTCAATTGGCATAAAACTTGAATGTTGGAAAACGATTGATTGTCGCTCAAAAAGAATACGTGTCGTACTCTCGTATCCTTGAATCAACATCATTAGATCTTCAAGCTCGTGCTTCATTGCTTCTCAACTATATTTACAGTGTAGGTACTTTGGAGATGTTATTGAATGTATAGCAAGAAAAGGGAGAAAACATATCATCGAGCCACTTAACATCAATGTTGTGTTAAAAATAAAAAGTAAGATAAGTTCAATTTAGTGACTTCTTGATGCTCGAAAAAGGGTGTCTTTCACTCATAAATAATGACCCTATAGTTTGAGATGAGTTGACATGAAACTATATAGTGTTACTCCACTCAAAGCTAAATGGGTTCACGTTTATTACACACTTTGAAATTGGTATGTGCAAATTGGGAGGTAATCTTCACTTGAAACATACTTGTACTTGCTTCAACTTTTCTTATCTTTAAGGGATGATCACATTGAAAGTGCAATTTTTCCCAATGTTTGTGCGTCTTTTGTATATGAACTATACTAGTAATGTGCCTTGTCTTTACTATTTCGAGGAAAATATTTGACAATTTTTCTAGTGATTATTTTTTTTTTTTTTGATTAAATTGATCGTTTGATAAGGTATCAAAATTTCATTTTATCAATAAATAAATATAAAAAAAAAATACATAGATGCATGGTTTTTATGTGGTAGATGAGTAAGCTCACAAGATGCACATGTTTTCATTTATAATCCATAAGACTTTAGGAAGTTTTACTAGGGGTTTTAAATGGTTAGTCTGCAAAAATTATAATAACATGACAAAGACTGTTAAATGACATGAGTTACTGCCCATAAATTTGAAGGATGTGAATTGGCATTTCTAATTACAGGATTTTTTTGGGATTATTGTTCATTCTGATTTGTCTACTTCATGGGTAGCTAGTGCGTAGATTAATCATGTGATGTACTAATGTATAATATAAGAGAAGTGAATTATGTATTTCAATGTACAAGTTATATGTATAATTGTAGAAATAAACAAATCTTCCCTCCCATGCTAAATCTAAAGAGTTGTTGCACTTGTTTCTAGCTACGCGTGAAATTGTCTTCCACGAATATTGTGTTAATTTACAAACATAAGTAAATTCAATCCCTACATCTATATATATATATATATATGTGTTTTTTTACAAAAAAAGTAGAAAGTTAAATCCCTATAAAATTAAATATTTGTACAAAGTAAAACAATGTCATTCGAATAGCACAAAGTCGTCTTTTAAGTTTATCATTGTGTTGATTTGCAATGATACGTAAATTCCTAGTCCAAATTATACGAAGTAAAACAATATGTCAATCTAAACAATTAGAATGCTAACAAAAATAAATAAAAATAAAGAAGAATTGGGATAGTGGAGACACTTTCAGAACAAGCTGATTTTCACGTTCTGCATGCATCTAATTAAAAATTGCGTAAATTCTAAAATATTGGCCCAAAAACCACTAATAACTTAAAGATATCATGGATCACTATCATGCTTAAATCAAACATGCGCCTACATTCTTAAAATTTAAATTATTTATTGATAAATAAAGATTTTTTATATTATAAAGTGGACTATTTATTCCTAAGAAAGACCAATAATATCATTCTGAAAACTAATTATACAACTAAGTGGTTGCTTTATATAGAAGATACTAGGAAAATGGTGGGTCAAATTTGTTCATGAATCATGAATTAATGCTCTGGAGCTAATATATATTAGCTGTGGTATATATTATCAATTTATCACCTAATATATGGACCCAAGAGTGGGCACAATATTTATATAAATCAATCTCTAAATAGTATTACCAAGATGGATGTGCATTATGTTGTATGTTTGTAGAAGTCGATCTTATTACAATTTAATTTATTAACGTGTAAAGTTGTAAAGGGTATACCGGTATAGTGTTTCTCAAAACTTGACTTTACTAATTTGCAAATTTGTGACTTATGTAAATATTAGCAAGATTTATTATTAAATAATTAGATTCATGCAAGAAATTAAACAAACTATGAGTACATATATGCTATAGTTGGTACAAAATATTCCGTCTAGCTACCTCGGACTATTATTAAACTACGAAGTGCCTACAATCATACTCATAAAATCTTACACATTCTATTTCAAGTTAAAATAATACCCGTAGTAATCCATACTAACACTATCTTTGTATATGACAAAATACAAGACGTAGATACGGTAATAGGATAATCAATTTGTCATGTACTCGTAATATATTCATGTATGTGAAGAAAAAAACATACAAAAAAAAAGGCTTTACTTGCTTGTATAATATATTCATAAACACGGGTTCAAATCTCATTCGCCCCTCCTTTAAAGTGAAATTAATTCGCACCAGGTATGGGTGGGCCTGTAATGCATCCACATTTCAAGCCCAAAAGGCTTTTCATGTGAGGGGGAGTGATAGAGTATAAAACATATTACTGGGCCTCAATCATCAGTTTAACCTTTTGGTTGAGTTGGTCCTCTAACATGGTATTGGAGCCAGCGTAACATAAAGATCACGGGTTCGAATCTCATCCACCCCCCACTTTCAAGTGGAATATTAAGCGCCGGGTATGAGGAGGGTATTGAAAAAGTCAGGCTACATGCATGTGCAAATGTCGAAGTCATTCTTTCATATTGCAATGCTATACTTACAATGCAAAGGCAAATTTGTGAGATTTTAAAAGGATACAAGATAGTTTGCTCCGTTATGACGATCATAACATTTTTTTCACTACGTTAAATTAAGCATTTAATTTAATACATGAATTAACTTTTTTTACATGTTATACTTATACATGCATGATTTTGATTTTTTTTTTTTAAAGAATGCATGATTTACCATAAACAACAAAAACAACAACAACAAAAAGGCATGATTTTTTCTATTTCTTTTGATTTCAATTTTAACGTAAATCTTTATTTTCAGAATACAGTTAAAAAAAATTATTTATAATTTATGTACTATAAAATAAGATTATTCATAGCATTGATGCAAACTTGCAAAGTGATAAATAGATAAAATAATATGAAAAGGGAATATTCACTTATAGTTTATTAGTGGAAGATAAAAAAAGCACAACTATATATAACTTTGTATCAGTAATTTATCAACAATTAATCGCTTGTGATGATGTCTTATCAGTTATCACCCATGCTCAAATTGATTCAATAAGACTATTGATACAAACTTGCAAAGTGATAAATAGATAAAATAATACATATTCACTTATAATTTATTAGTGGAAGATAAAAAAGCACAAATATATACCTTTGTGTTAGTAATTTATCAACAATTAATCGCTTATGATATTAATGTCTTATGACTCTTATCATTCATCATGCTCAAATTGATTCAATAAGACTTCAAAGAAGATAGTTGTAATGACTAATAAGAGAGGTTGCTAAAAAAAAATAGAAAAAAAAAGGAGTATTATGTTAATGCAATGGATTACCAGAAAAACCAAAAAAGATAGTTATGTAAAAAACATTTTATTGATTCTTTTCATATGGTAATGTTTAATACAATTGCAACAATACAATCTTATATCATTAGATCTTTTCTATAATTATCGTTTTAAAAATAAGTTTATATTGATTTAAATTTGACAAGATCTAATGTAATTATATATTATCAAAATATTTCGTACCAAAAATAATTCATAGAAAATAGACCGTAGTCTAAACTAGAGTTGTTCAAGCATTGTACTCCGTAAATTCTAAAGATTGAACAAAATACATTAAAAATATATATATAAATTGAAAATTATACTTGGCACCCAAAAATTTTATTTTTTTTTTACCAAAAATAAAATAAAAAAATAATCTTTGAAACATAAAACTTGACACCCAAATTTTATTTGAAAAAAATACTTAAAAAATTTGAAACATATGTCACGTGTAGGCAATTTACAAAAATGCTGACTTCTTAATTCCTATAAAGGCTCTCTTCCCCTGTTTTTCTCCTCCTCTCCACCTAATTTACTTCTTCTACTCACTTCACTCTCTCCTCTTTTTATCAAATCAAAAAAAATCAAATCTCCCCTTTTTTTTCTAAAACCCCAATTTTTCAGGGTTTATCGTTTCTGCTAATTACTCAATTAACCCCTTTTTCATCTTCCATTTCTTTTCTTAATTCATTCATGTGAACAAATCTATAAAACTTCCTTAAATAATGAGATCGGTGAAATACTCTGAACACCGAAGTGTCACTACCAAGCTTCTCCATTTATCTTCTCCTTCTCCTTCTCCTTCCCCTAAAATCGTCAAAATTTCAGTAAGAGATGACGATGCTACTGACTCCTCCGGTGACGAAGAAGACGGCCCCACTTGTCGTACCCGTGTTGTAAAGCATGTTTTTGAGATCCGATTCCAAATAACCCTGCCTGAAATCCCGGCCCAGCCGGTGGCCCAAGCACAAGCCCAACCGCAGCCCAGAAAACAGAGGAAATCTGGTAAGCGGGTTCAAAACGAGAATACCCGGAAATATCGGGGAGTCCGGCAACGTCCTTGGGGGAGATACGCGGCGGAGATTCGAGATCCGGTGAAACGTGCAAGGGTTTGGCTCGGAACATTTGATACCGCCGAAGAAGCTGCCGTGATCTACGACAAAGCTGCTCTCCGACTACGTGGTCCCCTCGCACAGACCAACTTTCACCGACCACCGTTTTCGGAAAGCGGCGTGACGTCACTTTCCGATGAGTTCGAGGAGGAGGATGAGGTGGGTCAGAGGCTGTGTTCGCCGACCTCTGTTTTGCGGTGTCATCAAGGAGGGGATGACGTGGAGGAGAGAGAAAATGGAAAAATGATAGAAATCGGAGGTGGGGCCACGGGTAGTAGTAGTACTACCACCCCAACTAGTACTAGCAGTAGTAGTTGCGATTTTATTGGTGACCGGAAACCGGAAGATCAGGTAATGAGTTTACCGGTAAATGAAAGTGAGATGGAGTTGGATATATCATGGTTTTTGAATGGATTGTTTAGTTATGATGACGCGCCTAAAACCATACTTGATGATTGTAATGTTGTTCCTGATTATACTTCGTTTGATCATGGTGATCTCGAGGATTTTTCCGGCGATTTTGATCTTGACGGTCCAGATTTCCTCAAATGTGAAGTTGATGATTATCTGTTGTGAGTGTGCAAGCTGCTCGTTGATTCAGTCAACGATTTTTGGGGTCGGAGTTTCTTCTATTAATTAATTATTATAAGGGATTTTGTTCAAAGTTTTTCCCTAAGCTAATTAGTTTATTAAGAAAGAAAGGAAGCTAATTATCTAAATTATATTTGTTATTATAATTAATTGTAGTACTAATATTAATGATCACTACCTTCTCCCTAAGTCCCTAGTTTTCTAAGTGTGCATAAATTTAAGCTAGTACTAATAATTTAAGATTATTACGGAGTATATGCTAATTATGCTAATTAAGTGGTGAATATTATTGGATTTGAGTTTGTACTTTTGGAAGTTTTTTTTTGGTGTTCATTTTGATATGGAGTTTATTTTCTCCGTTGCATTTTTAGTTGACGGTTTGGCAAGATTTAACTTTTGTCACTATTTACTTAAGTTACTTTGACTTTTTTTACGATAGATTTAAATAAAATTTAAAATATTATGGATATATATGTATGTTTGGTTGGACAAACAATTTGAAAAAAAAATAAAAATAATCATGTAACAATGGAATGTGCTATGTGCAAAGAAAACTATAGCTAATTGATTCGTGAATAAGAGAAAAAAAAAAAAAAAAAAAAAAAAAAAAAAAAAAACAGATGTTGCTCCCACTTGGATTGAAATACGCAATACTAATCATTAAATAAAATACAAAATTATGGTTTATATACAGTTTTGATTAGAACAACATTTGGTTCTAATTGCTCCCACTTGGAATAAAGCCATATGCACATTGTGATTTTGTAACTAACGTGTTCTTTTTTAAAGAAAATCATCTCTATAATACAGGGTATATTGTATCTCTCTTACTTGGTCCTCACTTCTGCATTTTACATTGAGTTCACGAACAAACCTAACAACACCAATTAAACCTTAGATTACTCATATCACCAAATAGAATTGCCAACAATGTACATAATATTTTGATTTCTAAATATTGTTCAAAGATTTATCTCAAATGTTAAAGAATGGAATATATGTTTGACAAGTTCAAAAATGACAGACAAAATATATTAATCACCCCATTATAGCCTAAATCATCTACCCTCCCTCAACTTACTAGAAATAAATACTCCTTGGCAGGCAAGCAACAATAAATAAAGTAGATGAATTTTTATATTTGTACTCCGTATTTTATTTAAAAAAACAAAATGCTTAAAATGGTACTGATGATGATGTTTGAAAATTGAAAAAAGAGTTGGAAACAGTGGTGTTAGTGTAAACCTGTGAACAAAGGTGTGATATTGGCCAATGTGTTGCAACTTGCATGCCCTTCCTTTTTATGTGGTTTTGGTGTTTTTTCTTCTGGTGCAAACTTTGGTAGTAGAGCTCACCTCACCACTCAACTACTTGTAACAAGGAAAGCATATTAACTGTTTTCAGCCACTGTCTTTGACCATTTTTTACAGCACTGTAACACAGTAAAAAAAATTAATTTTTAACCTCACAAACTGCTGCATATATCTATCTATCTACTTGTCTGGTTATACTGTACTGTACCCTACTTTCTGTGGAAACCTACAAGTAACAGCTATTGAAAACTAAGCAACAATTAGGAAATTTTTACCTTGGAATTGGTGATGTGAGAGCAGGGGATGAAGCTCAGAAGCAGGTTTTCTTAGTACAGTACTTTTTTTTTTTTTGACTGTGTTGTGGTAAATATTTTGTAGCCTAGAGTATGTAGGGTATTCTTTTTCCAGAAAATCCTAGACATGATGGCTGCTTTTTTTCATATCTTACTGAGCTCAACTGTTTTAACCCATCATCTTGCTACTCAAGCTACCTAGCTTTTTAATCACGCAAATTCTTGTTTCGAAGAATCTAACATTCAAATTAGGTCATAATTACTTAAAGTTACTAGAGATTTGCTAAATTTTTACGAGTTGATTGATGTTTTTATTAGCTGTACAAGTATATTATTAACATGTTATTTAGAACTTATTCTCTTTAGCTTAATTTCAGTTCAATTCAGTTTCTAATTTCCTTTTCTCATAAACAATTCAGTTCAGCTCATTTTAATTTAGTTCAGTTCGGTAATTCATACATACCCTTATACTATTCTCCATGCATGCTAATTTAAATGAAAAATATACTATCACTACCTCAAATATATGTAGTTACTACTAGTATTTGGATTAATGTAAACGAGTAATGTGTTGGTCTATTTTGACATTACAGAAATAATTTAGGTATAGCCGTTATATCAAATTAAGTTACTCTCAACTTAATTGATTAAAGCTAATCATATTTAGAGAGGATGTCACCCTGGAAAATGTTCAATAAGATATTGGTGTTTTGATCAACTTTAAGGTCATATCAACCAGTATACTAAACAATGTTCAATACTTTGTGATATTCTTTTTAGTTGCCTAGTAGGTATATCCAACAATAATGCATCTTATGGATCTCTGGTACTTGAAAGTTGAGGGGAAGGTTATCACACCCCAACCACATCAGTTCATTTGAAAAATCACAAACTAGAAATTTAGGATTTGTTTTGAGTTACTGAAAACAACTTAACTGAACTGAATAGAGATGAAATGAATTGTTCATGAGAGAAGGATATTAGAAACCGAATAAAGCTAAAATGAATTGTTTATGAGCGAAGAAAATTAGAAACTGAACTAAACTGAACTGAAATTAAGCTAAAAAAAATTGATGTGGTTGGGTTGTGATTACCTTCCCCTCAACTTTAATAATAATACTTCGTAAAAGTCAAAAGCACATACACTACCTCTAAACATATACAAAAAAACCAACCTATAAACATTTTCTAAAAATTATCCATGGATCAGTTTTATTATATGCTAATTTAACGCAAGATTAGCTAAATAAACTCGAACAAAAACAAGACTAACATTTATAAAAATAAACCTTTTGGTCAAATACTAAAACACAAAAAGGGGGAGCACAATGTCTAGTTACTGTTGAGAATGGGGTGGCAAATTAGATCTCCACTAGCAAGTTGTAATGCTCTTTATCTACATATGAGCTTTTATAATTTTGTTCAGAATTTTTTGGCCTTAAAATTTCTCCTATAAACCCTACAAAGATTAATGAATAATCATAGCAGGCTCCACCTTATAATCTTTGGGGTGGTCCTCTCTAAATTCTTGTCTCTTTTTAACAAATTGTATCTCTTTTTTGGTTTTATGTATTTGTAATTATTATGTATGCATGCAATATTATTTAGTTTTTATATACAAACCAATCTAATTTAATGAAATTTAATTGCATAATCCGTATTGGGTAGCAACTAGTCAGGTACTTTGAATCGCTATGTTGGTTAAATCTTCTCCTTGTAAATCCAATCCCTTTCAAGTGGTTAGGATTCTTTGATTGGGATAGCTCATTGTCCTGATTAATTTAATCAAAACTTTGAGCACATGTTGTTCTCTCGGTTCTTTCTCTTGTGAATTGTGAAATGCACAAAATGTGTTCTTGGCAACACGTTGGTTGTCATGAGATTTGAGTTGTAAGATTTACGAGAGCAATTATGCACTTTTTGGATCACTGTACTGGGTGTAATTTCGACATTAATACTTGTCATTGAAGGGCTAATCATGTAACTGTTATCGAGATTTGTTGTGGGTGTTGTATCTTGTAGGTGTTTATAAGTTAGAATTACGTATCAATATTTTACAAGATAGAAACGAGGTCATTAAATCGTATGTACATGACTATTACCCTTGCATAGTTGCATGCTCTGCCAATCCATAAGTAAATGATGGTGCAAGGTTCATATTATTGTATGCAAATATACAACAATTTGCATCTAATAACAAGGTAATGGCTTTGATCATGGAAGAGCTATATTCTCATTGATCAAAATTCACACACATGTATTAGCCTAGTGTCAATGTATATGTAAACACGTTGAGTTAAACCGACTATTAATAACATTGAAAAATCTTTAAATACTCTCTAAGACAAGTGGCAAGGAAAAAAAAAAAAAAAAAAAAAAACCAAAGTGAGTACTTGTACAATAAAAATTAGCATGGAATGGAGTAGGATTGTATGTCATAGTCAGCAAATTTTAACCAAAAAAAGTGCACGGAGGAGAATTCTGGTCCTTGATAACAAACTTATGATTAGGCACTGCAATCTTTTTTTTGTCGCTTTTTGTCGGCTGTCCTCCCAAATCTTCTTCTTCCTTCTCTAATCTTTGTTTCTTTCCCTAATTTTTAATTACAAACAAAAAAATTAACAACACTTAATTATTTTAATTATGAACAGTAATACTAAAACCAGTAAAAATAAAGGCAGTAATACAGTACGCTGCGTTTTGGGTTCTGGAGTAATCCATAAGTTGCTGCTGACTGCTGCTGCATATTCACAGAATCACATAAGCACGCTCCTGGGACCAATCACTTTATTTTGGAGTTTAATTCAAATAAATTTAATTAAAAAATAAAAAGGAAAATTTTGGTGGCGGGTAATGGGCCCAAAAGCTGCGAGCATAATCTTGGGCTTGATTCTTGGGGCTGTTCTTTGACAGCTAATGGTAGAGGCCCACTGAATGGTGGGCCCGTGGGCCTACACCATTGTAATTTTCTTTGGCGGAGAATTATCAAAATACTGGGCACCATTTGCATTTGTGAATATTCAACTTGCGGATGACTTTGTCAGAGGTAATTAACTACTTTGTTTTGTCTCTTTTTTCGGTGACTAATGCTATCTTTATGAATTAGTACCATATCATCAATAGTTAATGAAAGTAACTTCTCACTGTTGCATCTTGTTAAGAATTTAGATCTTTCACCCTATTACTTCATTACTATAGGGACCCCCTCAAGTTGGTCAATTTTTGCAATTGATACTCTTGGAGTACCTAATATTGTACTCTAGGCCCAACCTAAATTAATGGGCTAAAACCCAACTAAAAGAAGTGCATGTGAAATTTTATTTTACGAAATAACAAATAAAGTAAATAAAATAACTTAAATTGTATATAAGAAAGATAGACTCAAAATGTCAAAATCAAACCATTTTATTTATCTCTCCACTCACTTTTCTTTTTTCTCTCTCAGTTTGAAATCACAGTTTTTCTAATTGAAATGGCGTGAAAAATCTTCAATTGCATGTCTGCAAAATATTGAAGACAAAATTCCTACTCAAGCAAGCCCAAAACTAACATAAATTAATACTTGAAGTAAGTTTTTAAATAATTGTAAATTATTTTGCTAATTAGCTTTGAATTTGTGATAATTTTTGTATTTTTAAAAATTTAATATGCAATTAATACATGCAGATATGATGTAGTAGATGAAAATAAAAAAGGAGATAAACAAATTTCGCTTCTACATTTTGAATTTTGGCTACTGTTATCTCAAGATAATATTACTGTTCTTTAGATCTTATGTTATTTTGTGTTTAATTTGTGTTATTTTAGTCTTTGAAAGTAGTGGTGGGGAATGTTATTTTGTAATTTAAATGAAATTATTTTACTTAAAATCTAATGTTATTTTGCTTCTTAGGTTTATGTTATTTAATTGTGTTCTTGTGTTATTTTATTAAAACCATGTGTTATTTTACAGTCACCATATGTTATTTTGATAAA